CCCCCACCCCCGCGTTTCAACCCCAGGATGAGCTGCCAGTGTGGGGAGACGAATAAGACCACCTTGAGTTGAGAGTAATACCACCACAGTGTCAGCTTCATGCGTTTTGATCAACGTGGCACCGTCTGTGTCATGCCATTACAGAGACAGCGTGCTCCCGAAATTTCCCTATGTATGCTATATGAACACAATGTTTCTCACGATGATGTTCAATTGTTGTTTATCATCAATGTCACCCGATGGCTTCAATATTGTCCTTGCCTCTTCATCTTATTGCTGATATTCTGCGTCTTCTGGATAGCATCCAGGAACTTCCTCCTATTCTGCTAAGCCATCGAATATTCTACTCTGCTCTTTTGGATACACCAAGTCTGCCTGTGGATATTATTCGCAGTCAAATTCCCGACAACTTGCTTCCGTTGGCTTTTACCACATTCAAGTCGCAAAAGTCGGTACGGGAAACAAGGAGTGTAAGCGTGGAAGAGTTTCTGACTCATTGCTACCACAATTCCATGCGAAATGTGGACGGCACTCAACTTCACTTGACGGTAGGTGAAGCCGTTGAGGTTGTCAGAGTCGATGATGCATTGTCGAGCTTAAGGGATGAGTTTGCTTCGTGTTCCCTGAGGAAGCTTCATGGTGTAAACCAAGATGAGCCCATTGAAAGTGACCGAGGTCTCTCTCCTGGCGAGTACTATCGAGTCTCTCGCGCATTCTATCGATTTCAGATATATCGAAACCTTTTCCTTGACAAAGAGCACGAAATTGATCTTTTCCCTTCTTATGATGATGACGATGGTGAAGATGAAGATTTGAGCTCCGACAACGAACTGAAAAGGCTGTTCTTTGCTCGGCATTCACCATGGGCCAATGAACAGCTGGCTTGTGTTTACGACTTTCTTGAGACAAGATTAACGGGTGGTAAGCTTGATACCCCAATACATCTTTCACATACAAACTTCAAATGAGCTATCCTAACTCGCACCATGTATATAGTCATGCTGACCATCTTGTCCACAACTCCAGCCTATCGGCAAGTAGTTGTCAATGGCTTTCAATGGGGGGGAAATCTTACCGAGTGGCTAGCTGAAAAGACTCAATCGTTTGAGGAGCAGAAATGCGTGAGTTGCAACATTTATCTAGCACTATGTGAACCTTTGATGCTTACTGGCGATATTCTAGATGTCCCTCGGTATTCCTCGTCTCAGTCAGCTTCTCAAGGCCTCAACCTATGAAGAGTGGCAAGCTTCACTTGGTGAGGCTATTAGTCCTTGCCAAAGTAGGCTCGAAGAAGATCTTGAGGAGTTCAACCGTGGAAGAAGGCCGAATGAGCAGAAGAAAGTTTGGCGAGCTGAAGATATTGACAGGCTAGCCAGTGAAGTCGACGCTGACGATGCGTTTACTGACAATCAACCAAGACAGACATGGATGAAGGTACACTATGATCAAGCGCATGAAAGATATCGCTTAGGAGAGCATGCGTTTGCCCCAATGAGGTTTATCTACGGGCTGAGAAGCATCGGGTATGTCATGTGGGATGCAGAGAGAATGAAGAATGAAGTCTGTAAAGTCACCTTAAATAAGGCGTACCGAGGAGATGCTGTTTTCTAGGCGACTTGCATGAAAGTCGAGTTTGGAATTAGTGATACTTGTGAATCAACATCTGTTTGTACTGAACCAGGAGTAGATTGGAGCCTGACTGTAAGTTCAAGTCCTCAGGTGGTTACCGTCTTCGCACCTAATTGTATGTCAACGAGGACTCGTTTTGTGCTCA